TGTTACAAGTCCCTATGAGCAGTCTTGAGACACACCAATCACCTATGCAATCACTTCAAACCAATCAGGATTTGAATACAGCCACAGACTTTATGAACTCACAGATCTTAAGTAACAGCTCATTAGACCAGTCGAGCAATACCTCATTATTTGATAATGTACAGGTGAATGACTTAACCCAATTCCAAGGGCCTTACCCTGTGCAGATTACAGAGGCTTTGTGCAACACCTCAAAATATGAGTTCACAGCGTCACTTGTGGAGCAATTTCGCCAGGACGAGGCGCATTTAGACCAGTTAGCCAAAAGACAGACAGAAAATACTGTTCAGAATGTGTCTCAGTTGCTTACGCAGCAACAAAATGTTCAATTATTGAATCCAATTGCAGAGCAACAGCTTACGCTTTCAGGTCAACAGACAATTCAGAACGTCCACCCTTCGGGTACTTTTGTCAGTGTGACGCAACCGATGTTCACTGCACCACAAGAAAATGCACAGAATCACCAAGGAACTATTCTAACGAACAGCGCTGTTCAGATATTACAGCAAGCTGCCAATCAAGTGAGCCAGGCCGCGGAACAGAAGCCTGTGATCACGCAATTCTTGAAAGCCCCCATCTTGCAGCCCCAACAGGCCGCGCAACCAGTGCAATTTACTCAACCGACAGCGTCAATTATGTTGCCGACCGTCTCGACACATCAGGTGCTCGTACCGCTGTCAGTCTCACAGTCGGTGCGGCGTAAGGATGTTTTTGCAGTGCCAAAGAGTAAACCTCCTGCAAGACGAATAGCCCCAGCTCCACCACCACCTACTACTAGTAGTGTTGGTAAAGTCAGTACTACAGCGCTCCTTTCACACCTCCTTACCAAGGGTAGGTAGCCTGCGGTTTCACATTTATTACAGCATCTTTTGTAAAAATGTTGTTTTTTTTTTCATCTGTTTAATATTCTCCATTTTACAAGAAACACATTGGTTTTTCAAATAATTAAACATCTCTTGAAAAAATGTTGCAAGTTGCTTGGAAAGTTTCCTCGTCTCCGGATACACACTATTAAGGTCAGCTATAACCTAAGAGGCTTAATAGAGTGGAGTTTTATTTTTGTACAATTAACTGTTCTGATAAACTGTAATAAATTAAGCAATCAGATACGAATTGCAAATAAATATGAAAATAAAACCCTTTAAAAAAATTTTAGACAAGAAATCAACCAGCTTTGCAATAGCACCACAGCCTCCAAGTGGTATTGGGAACACGGCAACAGCAGTTTTGGTGCCCACTTCAATCTTGAAGACTGAATTTTCTACCAATCCTACATGTGTAATATCAAATACTGGTACTACAGTAAGTACTCAACACTTAAAATTATTATTTTTTAGATTAATAATTTTTCAAACATACAGGACTAGATCCTGTACAGGATCATGTACAGAGAAATAAAATATCCAGTGTGAACTACCTACACATCATTATACTTGGTAAAATTACCCAAGTTGTGTGATAACGAATCATGGCCAGAAAGAATATCTTGTATATATGTTTGTTCTTGAGCAAATATTGTTTAATGCAAACATCGCAACCTGGTCACGTCTTGCTGAGCGGTATATTGTGCATAACTGAAAATTTCATCACACAATTTTTGTGGCCAAAAGCTTGCTGTGTTTGCCCACTGAAACGACCCTTTACAAGTAGCAAATAGTACTTGGCCATGGTTGTTGGTAAACCCCATGGTATAACTGATTTTAGTGCAAACCACAATACCATTTTAGTGAATGTGAAGATTATCCTCAGCTTGGTCAAAGTCAATCTAATGAGAAGTCGACTTAACCTCAAATTTAAAGTTTATGAATTTAACCTCAAAACAGAGATGTTGATACCATTGTTAATAACTTTTTTTCCAGCCGACTATATACACTATTTCATCATCAACTATGCTGACATCAGCTGCAGCAGCCACAACACTTACACCGACTAACAGTAAGTTTAATTAGACTACTTGTTGTGTTTAAGTATTTGTTACATTGTTTTAAAGCTGAAAGTAAGTGATGCAAGCACTGTGAT